TATACGTGAATAGTAGCTGTGAATAGTAACAGTATACGTGAATAGTATCAGTACACGTGAATAGTAATTGTATACGTGAATAGTACCATGCGTGAATAGTGCTGGGCTTAAGAGTCACTGGCTCAGCAACAGTAACGCGAATAGTACTGTTCACCACTAAGTCGATACTACAATATCTTTCCGAGCGGACAGCACCGATGGACTCGTCGTAATTTTCTGATCATCGTAATATATTTATTTTTGAAATATATCCACGAATCTGGTACCGCTATACCGCTATTTGAACGGCTGGACCTGCCGAAACTTCGCTCTAAATACCAAATTGGAAAAAATTACGGCAAAATCCCTAATAAGTCAGAAAATAACACACAATTTGATAACGGAGTTCGGGCCAATCTTGCCCTTACGTCTCCGGACTGCCCACAGATCTTTTTATAGGAGAAAAAATAAATAAAGTGTTTACATACACTTCCAACACCAGATACCCAAAAAATTAAGCTTAATTTTTTCTTCTTTGAATAATCTCACTATTTTTTTTCTCTCTGCACAATGGCTTGCTCACTCTCCATTTGGGTTATGTATAAAATAGAGGCAAATCCTCTCCTATTTATAGGAAGAGGAAGAAATGAGAGGAAGCGGTGTTTATAACTCATTCACGGCTCTCCCAATCTTTGGTCAAAGTTGCTTGCCAACTTTCAAAGATGAGAGAGCGGTGTATAACTCATTCACGGCTCTCCATCTTTGTCAAAGTTGCTTGCCAACTTTCACCTAATTTTTTTTTTCATCACGTGTGTGGCTACACCACAACCTACAACAACCTAACTTTGACATTTTTTTCCCATTAAAAAAATTAAAGTAGGCCATTTAGAATTCACTAGGTCCACCAATTCACTAATTGTACATGGATTCCCAAGCCCATGATAGTTTTAGCATATCGAACTCATGATGACTGGCTGGCCTATTCCACAATAGGACCCACCCCTTTGGGTTGGTATTCTCTTGAGTATCATTAACGGCCTTTGATGCCTCAAGATCTTGGCAACGTCGCTTAGAATCAGTAATGATCACGCCAACTTCTGTATCTTCCTCAATATCTTCAACATCCATAATAGACTCCTTACCATATACTGCCTCTTCTTCCTTCCCTTTACCCTTATCTTCCATCTCCTGATTTTTTGGCTTTGAATGTTGAGAATTCCTTGAAAATAGGATGTTTGAAAGCACTTGCCTTTTGCATGTTATCTAGCCCATTAGCCTGTCCACCCTCCGGCATCGTCCATCGATTTTCGGCCAATTGCACTTTATGGCTATCCGCCCTCATCCAAGACCTATAAGCAATTGATCCTTTGTTACTCCTTACGTGAGGAACAATTTTCAATATTATCTATCTGAGTGTCCCAGCATTCCACAGAAAAACAAAATGTGGATAGTCATTCATACTTAAAAGAAATCCATGACCAGTCCCCTTTTGCCTTCTTAATCTGCATTTTCCGTTTTAGTGGTTTCCGTATATCCACATACAGCAGAGAAATTCTTTGGGTCAACAAGTAGAAATTCTCCAATATAATTTCCCACATCATGAGCGACACATTCAGACATGAATCCTAAGGGGAGATCATGAACTTGGATCCAAAAGTCCACTATCGTCATCTCCATCCTCTTTGGGTTCTCGCCAGGTTGCAAAGGTTTTAATAGAATGAGATTCTCTGCAAAATTCCAGGGTCCTCCATCTGCAAGTCGATCATGATCAATTTGGTGAAAAAATTGAAACATAAAAACATTATTCCCGAGTTCTTTGATAAGTAGACCCATCACCAACCTCCACACCTGTGTCATAGTGTCTTTAAACACACGAGAGTTAATGGGTTTATTTGTCAGTAATCTCCCCGCCACACACCATTTGTCATGAGTTTCGTTAGTTTTCCTTGCTTCCAATTCTTAATCATACTCCAACCTGCCCGTCGATTCTTCTATATTTAAGGCAGCATAGATCTCCTCAATAAGAGGAGGTTCATTCGTATTCTGATTATCTAAGTCCATTTGAGCAAACCTTACCATTCAATCAATATGATAGCAAAGAGCCAAAGCGACAAAAGGGAGCAAAACTTGTTATGCAAGAACAAGAGGTTAGCCTTTCATGAGAAAATAGGAGCAATTTTTGAGACAATTTGAAACCTAAACTTAGAATTCATACTTTAATATTATATAAATAACAAAATTAAACGAGTATATACGAGTAAAGTTAACGTGCAGCACACGTTATGAAACAACAATACATAAATAAAAGGGATAATTCACTTATCTTAATTACACAAGTAATAATTCCAATAATATTTGACCTCAAGGTTTTATGAATTGATTTTCGATGCTTTTAAGGAAAAGAAAATACTGTCACGTCAATTTATTGGCGATGAAAGAAAAAAAAAAAAAAAGAAACAATGAGTTTTGGTTACACAAAGAGAACTACTGTTTTTTTTTTTTTTTTTTTTTTTTTTTTATTGACGTTACCCTTGAGAAAATATAGTTCTAAGTATTTTAAATATTAAATTAATTGTGAACACAATCTATTTATCATAAGTTACTATTAAATGTGACTTCGAAGAAAGTTTCTTACTCACAATGAAACTTATTTTCTAGAAAGCCTTTGTAGGCCTTGATTTTGTGGAAATACAACCAATTATTCCCCTAACAATAGTGGCCGGATCGGCTAATATAAAAGAATTGATTATTTTTTTTTTTTTTGAATTTTCTAAAATATTAGAATTATATTCAATAACATTAGTTTATAAAATTCAAATTTGTTTATTTGTCTTGACCCTTCTTATTCAAAAAATTATATATTTTCAATAAAAAAAAAAAGAAAATTTCTAGATCAGTTACAAGTGTCTATTCAAACTTTAATATTTTTTTTAGATTTTTAAAAATATTTTAAAAAGATTTTTTTATTTTTTTTTTTTTTTGAATTTTTCTAAAATATATAATTTATATTCAATAAATTAGTTTATAAAATTCAATTTGTTTATTTGTTTGACCCTTCTTATTCAAAAAATTATATATTTTCATAAAAAAAAAAAAATTTCTAGATCAGTTACAAGGTGCTATTCAAACTTTAGATATTTTTTTTAGATTTTTAAAAATATTTCTAAAAAGATTTTTTTAGATGATTGTGGGAAAAAATGGATCTTGTCATTTTAGGTGTTTGTTTAATTAGTTTTAGAAAATTAAAATAATAAATATATAATTTTATAAAAAAAATATATATGACTTTGTCAAAAAAAATCAAAAGAAATAATTTTGTTGTTCCACTTGGATGATTTTGTAAAGAGAAAATTACAATACATTCCCTGTGGTTTACGAAATACAATTAGTCTGCCATTGTCATTTTAAAATATACTAATTTGTCCTCATATTTTGCTTCCGTTGCACTATTAGGTCATTCTATCCAATTTTTGCATCTTTTTCATTAAGTCAATAAGAAAATACAGAGATCAAATGAGAGATACTAAAATATTATACCAAAAAAATTACAATGCAGTTCCTGTGGTTTGAAAAATATAACTAATCGATTTCTGTATTTTTAAAAAATAAAAAAGATATTTTCGTTATTTCATAAGGTACTAATGGAAAATGTGCAAAAATTAGATAAAAAGACATCATAAATTTGCGGAAGTAAATTATAAAGATATTTTAGTCTATTTCCTAAAAGACAGGGACGAAGCTAAAACCCTGTAAATCTCACTGCAATTTTTCCTTTTATAAAAATAAAATAAAAAATAATTAAAATATATATTTTATGTGCCACTTAGATACATGATTGTCTTGTCCTCTCTCCCTATTGCATTTGAATTGCTCTCCATTTGCCAGAATGACAAGATGCTTAGTTCGTTGCTCCAAAATATTGAGATGCACCGAGGTTAATTTGGTAAAACTAGACGGCATTTTTATGTATTAAGCCAACAAATTTTGGCGTGTAGCCTTAGGGGTCATTTCATTAGTCATCACTCACCAACTTTTGCCTATGGGTTTGTTGACACATCGACCTACCACCATATCGAGCCTTTTCGTTTTCATTTTTTTTTCTTATTTTTAGATTTTTATACAATATTATTATTTAATTAGTTTTTTATTCTAATAAAAATATAGTGATTAAACTCTTTTTTTTAAAAAAAATTAATTTAATTTTTTTATTTTAATTTTTCCAAGTTTTATATCATTTTTTAAATATTTTGTTAAATAGTTTTTTTTATATAAATCACCGGTATCCCAATCCGATTATCAGGGATTGTCTAATCCAGATCGGGTGTAGTTACAGTTAAAACTCCTCACTCCTCTCTGCAGGTGCGTTTAGTGGGGACGAACTCGAGAAATTTTTCTATATATCCAGTCTGCGTTGCCAACTGAGCCACAATCCGTTGGTTTTTTGTTAAATAGTTTTGAAATATCACATTTTGTGTGAGTTATTATTTACCTATTCAAAAATTAATTTTAATCTTCTTATATTTTATTACCTTTTAATTGTAATATTATTTTTTGTTAATTTTTTATTTTCAATTATACTGTTGGTAAATAAAAAGAAATAAAAAAATAAAAGTAAAATTTAAATATTAATTACAGTTATTAAATTTATTTTTAGTTGGTTAAATGAACAATTGGAAAAATTCTAATTTAAAATTTATATAGTTGAACAATTATAAAAAATTAAAAATAATTTTTTAAAGTAATTAATATAATATACTATAATATAGAAATTAAATAGTAATAATTCACTTGGTTTAAAAATAAAAAATAAAAAAAATCAAACCCTGGAAGGCTAAGATGAGCCGGCATGAATTATTTTCCTTTTAATCCAAGATCTTGAGTTAGAGTTTTGAAAACAGAGTTTCTTTATAAGATTGTCCAGTGCCAATCAGAATTAATTAGGTTAATGGGCTTTGGATTTCAGATAATTAAAATAAAAAAAAAAAAATTAAAACGAAGACAAAGCAGTTTCAAGTTGAAAAAAGAAATAAAACAAGAAAGCGTAGGTAGAAGACAACAAACTGGAGTAATACAGAAAACACCCACAAGGCACCAACCCTCCGATTCCAATATAAAAACACACTCATATAAGTTGACGCAATACGAACGAGAGAGAGCAGCAGTGTTGAAGTAACACAGTGTTTGGTAAGGGAAGCTTAGAATATAGTATATTAGATTCTCTCTCTCTCTTTCCCCATGGCTACGCGGTTGTTGTGGGCTTCAAGAGCTGCTTCTTACCTCAGGATCTCAGTTTTCCATAGAGGGTTTTCTTCTGGTAAGTGATAGAAAAAACTTTCTATGCTTTATTGATTTCCTACTTATTTATTGTATTTTATCTTATTTATTTGCCTTCGGTGTCTTAAACTGTAACATTTGAATATAAGTATATTTGATCCATGGGTTGTTCATTTAGATTTAGATCTTCTTTATTATACTATTCCTAAAAGATTTGTTTTTTTGCACTGGGTTGTGTTTGGTGTTGGCTTTGGCTGCGGTTTGATCTTATGTATTATCATTTAAGTTTTGATTTCATTTTGTGATTGATGCACTGACATTGACCATAGACATTTACTGTGGCTGCTTTTGTCAGATGGATGAATGTATTGAAAGAAGAGTGATTATTGATTTATTCTTCTTATGATTAGATCTCTTTATCTAGTTTATATTAAGAAAATGACAGCTGTTTTTAGTAATGATGTTAGTTTTCTAGAAGACGAAAATGGAAATGGGGTATCTTTGGTGTCTCTCTTATTTGAAAATTGAAAACCACTTTTTTAGCTAGAGATGCTGTGTGATATTTGGGGTTGTAAATATTTAGTAGTTGCATGGTGGTAGCAGATGGTGACAGCTATGATGTTGACGGTGTAATAGTGTTAATTCATGGCAATTAGCAGCATTGTATTTGGAGATTATGGAATTCGAGTGGAGATTTGATTTTAGTTAAATTCTCATACAGAAGCATACAAGAAACAATAACTGCACAATAATGATAGAAAAAATTAATATATTAACAATACTTGTATGTCTGGTTAGTAGTATATATATTTATCAAATCTTTCTAATGATTTGAGTCCTTATGTTTGCAGGAAATATGTTATTTTTTATTAATAAAAGCCAATATTTTTTGTTGTCTTGATTGAAAGTTCATTTCAAAAAGTGTTCCTTGTTCCCTAGTTGTGGTTGAGATCAAGCTAAAATTCCTTTGCATTTTGAATGTATCATATGCCTTCACTCTGCCTATCTTTTGGGTACTTTACAATATCTTCGGTTGTGATTTATGTCATCTTTAATAATACACGATTGGAGTGGGATGCCAAAGATTCTAGTAGTAATTGGTTTTTCCTTCCCTGGTGTTTGGTTAAAGAATTGTTCTTTTTTGGTGTTTGTCTAACTAAAAATTATGTACAAAGTAGAATCTATATACAGCACCATCACTAAATTATTGAGCATGAGAATGCCAGGAAGTTATATTGGTGCTCAAGGATAGGGTAAAGCTATTCAAGAGATATATGGTAATGGGAATGGAGTAAAACTATAAACTGACTTATATAGTTTTCTTGGCTGTATGTACATGTCAGGGAGAGATTGATCATGTCATCTTATCAAATATACTCGTTTAGATTACATATGTACATAGGCTACGTCCACATTTTGGGGAGAGATTGATCAGGTAATCTTATTTAAATATATTATAAGTATTTCAAAAATTTTTTCCAACCTATATTTTTGCTTTGCATTGTTTTTAACCTGATCAGAATGGATATTTGAAACAAAAGATTCATATGGCCGGCTGCAACTAGTTTTAGGCTAAGGCTTGGTTGTTTTTGTTGTTAGATTCTTTATGTATATAGACTAGTCAAGATAGGTGAAAAGGTATATTTTCTGAAGGACCGTACGCACTTATGATCCCACCAAGTAAGATTCTGGAAAGAGAAGTTTGAGGTTAGTCCTTCCTTCTGTAATTGTGCAAGCAGTGGCTGCTCTTAAGTCTCAGTGCTGCAGCATTTTAGTTCATATCCATACCCTTTCTGTTGCATTAAACAGTGGTTCTTGTTAAATTTTACAGCATTAATCTCACATTCAGCAGCCATCTCCATTTGTTTTTGTTTCTTTTTTCTCGGGTTTCAGTTTGTGGGATTACGAGTATTTGTTGCTTTTGCTGATACTTCTTCATTTAACTTATAGTTATAAAGGATTTGAAGTATGCTGACAGTCATGAGTGGGTGAAAGTTGATGGAAATTCTGCTACTGTTGGTATAACCGATCATGCTCAAGATCATTTAGGTGATGTCGTATATGTTGAATTACCAGAAGTGGGTGCTTCTGTAAAGCAGGGTGACAGTTTTGGTGCAGTTGAAAGTGTTAAGGCTACAAGTGATGTCAATTCTCCTATTTCTGGCAAAGTTGTTGAAGTCAATGAAGAACTGAACAGCTCCCCTGGTTTGGTTAGTACTCTTATATGGTGCTATTTTTTTTTTTTCTGAATTAATTTTACATGTGAAGTTATTTTTAAGTAGCATTTTGCTGTGTTTTTCCTCTTTTAAATGCTGTGGTGTATATGCATATGTTAGGATCTGTTTTTACCCGTAAGGTCATAAACTGTCAATCTAACAGTCTTTTTCTTTGCAACTGTAACCTTTTCTTTATCCAAGACTAAGTGTGTGACTACTGGTCATCTGCAAGCTTAACTTATACATAACTAGAAAAGAAAAGTAAAGAAGTGCCAGTTGAACCTACATGTAAAGTAGATGATGCTCGTTAAGGATAATGTAGCTTATGTTCTGTTGTCCTTTCTCTACTGCAGTTCAAACAATTTTGGACTCGCACTGAGTCTTAAGGGGCCTTTCCTACAATGTCCTGGATCAATGTTAACATATCCGTACTGTTCAAGTAACTATAGAACAGAGGAATTCAAGTTTTACACGTTAGAAATGCGAAGCCCAAAATACTTGGTACCTCAAATGGAGTCATGAATTGAGCAGGTCTAGAGTTACTAGGTTAATAACTGAACTAGAAGTCGTAATACACTCGCATAGACATCTTTCACTCTGTTTTTCCCATTAGGGCCACAGCTAATATTTCCATAGTTGTTGACCTCCCAAACAAAATAGCCATTAAATTTTATAGTATTCCCAAGCTGCCCAAATTATTTGTGGTTTACTGGCTATAAAATGATCTGGGCACTACATGTTTTTTTACCTTGGATGCTTACAGCTCCAAATTCTGTTTTTGAACCTTGATGGCAATATTTAGTTTATAAATCTTTGTTTCTGTGCATCTGCTCTATATGCTCCTTTTCCTTCTACCTGGAGCTTGACATATCAGATATGTGATTGGTTTTTTTGTGTTTATCCTAATCCTGTTTTGGTCAGAATTGTATTAGCCCATGTCATTTAGTTAGTAAACAGGACAAGTTCAGGATGACCTGAGATACTTTAGTCATGTCTTACGTGTATTCCATGTGCCCCAGTTTATAATTGTGATACATTGGTGATGGAGGGTGCTAAACGGGGAAGAAGTAGACCTGGAACCACATGGGGAAGTTATCGTAAAATATCTACTGTAGGCGTGGTTGTACTAGTTGTTGTTATGGTTGTATGTTTAACTTATTTAATATGTTTGACCTTATATTAGAGTGATATTTTTTTTTTCCTTAAATCAATTTTGCACAACAATTAGTAAAAGAAATGTTGTTAATGAATATAAGCATGCAAACAATATATGCAAATTAGTTTCCTCATTAGGTTATTTATTTTGTTCTTAGTGTTTAAATTACTAGGATAAAGTCCATGTTAAAATGATTTATTCCAGCCAGTGTTGATATTACTTTTTTGCTAAGTCGATTAATCAATGGTTTCGTGCTAGATGTTTTATAAACTTGTATATTTGATATTCTTGTCAGATGTTTTGTTCAAGTTTGTCTCATTATATATTCCAGTATTTAGTATTCAACAGAACTCAAACCCAACCTAAGTTACCTTTTGTGGTATGAAAGGTTATATTGCAGCTATATGTGAGGAATTTGCTCCCTGTACTTGTCCTGTCCCTATTCTTGTCAGTTGCTGTTGGCATATGTTTCTTTCCAAATGTAGCTAGTTTTTCCTTTTTGATTTACTATTAGTCCAGTTTCATCCAAATTTAGTCCATAATATCTGTTCTGCTACAACTAAGAGTTGCACTTCTCAGAAAAATATATGCTATAATGAGTCGAAACACAATGGTCTGTTTATGCGCGATAAACAATTTGGGGAGTTGTGCATGAAAGTAAGTATTTCTTAGATATATTTTGGTTCTGGTCTCAGTTTATATGAAATACACTAGCATTTCCAGTTTATATGTTTTGTCTGGCTTCATTAATGCACATCCTTAAAATTGTTAGTTAAGTTTGTTTCATTCATCATTTTCCAGGTAAACTCAAGCCCGTACGAGAAAGGATGGATTATAAAGGTCAATATCAGTGATGTTGATGAGCTAAAGAACTTGAAGGATGCAGATGAGTACTCAAAGTTCTGCGAAGAAGAAGATAAGCATTGATGGGATCTCCATGTTGAACATTAGGCACACTCATCCGAAAGGGCATGTGTCCTATGGTTGCTTGACTTGAGAGAATACACATTTCTGTCTTGATACTTTTATCCAACCATGTGTTTATCTCTATTCCCTTTATTCAGAATGATACTATCAAGTAAGCTCTGCCAACATTTTAAAAAAAATAATAATCATTTTGGATTTGCATCAGTGTCATGGCAAAGTAGGCTGTCGACAAGTGTTGGTCATTAAGTTTTGAATATTTGATGCAATTTTCAGAAGTAAGAGATAAGAAGTGCAAGCTTTGGATGGTGTTTGCCATCCATTATTCTCTGGAATTTTGAATAGCTAACTAAGAACATGAGAAGTTTATTTTACTTGAATGCTCTATCTTCCTCTAGCTAACTATTTTACATTTCAGAAATTTTTAGGATACAGAATAACAGAAATTATCCGCGGTTAAAAAGGGAGGCCATTTTCTTGAGAAGAAAAGAACCAAGAGAAGCCATTAATTCAAAATTACTTTTAAAATTTAAGCCTTTGTTTGAACGAAAATATTTTTTTTGGTTTTTTAATTTACTATAAAAGATATGTTTTAGTTTTTGGTTTTTGTTCTTTATATACCAAAATTTTTTAATATTTAGTTTTGAGTATCATTGGCTGTTGAACCAAATATAGTTATTATAAAATCCGAATGAAATAGTTCATTGGCAAAGACCATTTGCGGAGGAGGCTGTTTTCTCTTGAGGCGGCTGTTTTCCAAGAGATAAAACTCATATGTAGGAAATTTTGACGTATTTCTAGTGAATTATTTTACCTTGGCACCTTATTAAGTGAGCCGTAGCATGCATTTGTGTAGTGCTACAATGTTAAAAGTCGCATTAAGCTGTGCATAATAGTGAGAGATGTCGTAAATTTTATCGAGCTTCAAAATAGATGAGAAATGTTAATATGTTTTGGAACCATAGTATAGAAACACGAATGGCACAACCCTAGTAATGAAATGAATGTAAAAAATAAATTAGTAAAAGCTGATCACAAATTGGTTGACAAACATGTATGTAAATGATTGAAATACATGAAGATGAAGAAAATAAATGGTTAATAAAAGCATCATAATATAATAATACCTCTCTATTTACCAAAACAACATCAAAATTTATGATATGTTGATTTCACGACAATGCTTTGTATTTACATAATCAATAGACTCGTGCTCTAATGGGCCTTGATTTGCACTGCAAGAAATTCAGCAAATTGCAACTCACTAATTGATCATTATTTCATTAAAATCGATCACTAATTCTGCATTGTGACTAATCGCGACGTCCACCAATTGGTCACAAGAAATGTCGTTGCAATTTTATTTGCATTCAAATGTTTATTCTCTCACTATTTTGCGACCATCGGTGTGGATCGTAAGAACAATAAATCAATTGCTATTAGGTACTGACTTAGTCCCCCAAAAGTCAGTTGCAAATCCGTTGCAAACCATTTTCCATATTTTTAATGTGAGTGGTTCCCATCAAGTTATATATAGATGTGAGACCCTAACTCGAGTGCTAAGTCCAATCCATTTAACGAGGTTGAAACATTCATTTAGATTAGATTCATGTGTGAAAGTCTACGTTTTAAAAATAATTGCTACTTAATTTTCATTATAAGGTAAATTTAAGAAAAATTCATTTCTTTGACTCTAAACAATAGTTTTTTTTTTTTTTTTTTTTTAATTGTACTTAATTTTCATAATAAGTAAATTTAAGAAAAAATTTCATTTTCTTTGACGCTAAACATAGTTTTTTTTTTTTTTTTTTATGTAGTATTTGGGCAACGGATATTCGAATTTTTTTTTTTTTTTTTTTTTTAGTATTGGGGAAGGGATATTCGAATCCGGATCTATTCTCGGATCATATATACATTTACTATTAGGTTATGCCTTGTTGTGCGACTCTAAACAATTGTTGAAGTTAGAAAAGTGCAGTAATCTTTGAAACCGATGAGGATTGAGGGACGAAGTGTTTTTGGTCGTAGCAATAATTCAATTAGCCAAAATATTAATGTTTTGGAAAAATAAGATTTGAGATGGAGAGATATAATGCATGGCAATATTATAGAGCAAATAAATAAAATTAAAAGCTATGAACAAATAAAAGAAATAAAAACCAAAATAATAAAAAGAAGGAACATTGCTTCTAATCCTTTTGGGGATTATAAGGCAATCATACTTCTCCCAACCAAAAAAATAAAGAAAATAAAGAATGAAAATAGAAAAAAAGAGGACTTTTGGTGAATTTGGTTTGCAGCTTGAGTTTGGTAATCGAATCTACCTCCTTTATCCCTTTGAACGAGAATCAAAACCGAATAGTCCTAGCGATAGTAAATGGAGGTTCCTTGATTTTAATTTGAAAGTTAAAATCATTTTAATCCTTCAAAATGGTCTAACTGCATGTTACTCTGTCATCAAATCGATTCCATATTTGATCTCTTTTGATATAACAATTCTTGTTCTATTCTTTATTTCATTTTCTCATTCCATATTTCTATTCTCTATTTTATTTTTTACCCATATTAAAGGTAACAAAAATGTAGTCATGTAGAGTCTATCCATAAACTCACCCAAGAAGAGGATCTAATTTTGATTGACGTGCAACCTTACAAACAACATGGACCAAAATAAAAAATAAAAAAAAACAAAAAAAATAAAAAGCAAATCTTGGACCATAGGCCCACGCTCCAACGAATTTGAGCATGTAGGTGGAGCTAGACTTAACTCTAAGGCGAGCAAGCTGGTTTTGGCAGCGATTGAAACAGAGTGGTAGCTATTACGGTCGTCAAGGAGTCCCTACCAGCCAAGAAGCAGGAGCGTTAGTCACTTTCATGCCAGACACCACAATGTCCAATACTAATAGGGCATTAATTGTGTATCCACTTCCCCATCATCCCTTTACTTGCTCATATGCCTTATGTGATGGGATGAATACACAGATTCACTTTTTAATTTTGTGTCGCCCTGAACTTTACAGATGATTTATCGTGTACTTGAACTTTAAATTTTGATATTATTATACACCTTTCGATAGTAATATCAATAATTTTTGAGGTTTTTAATTTTTATATGTAAAATATCGACTTTATATGTAGTTGACATGATTTTTGGACAATAATTTTCATAAATTTTAACTTTTTAATGAGTGTTTAATTAATTTAATTTTGTAAGTTAAAGTATTCAATAAAATAAATTTGAAAATTGAAGTGTTTAATAGGTGTAAAGTTAAAGTATTCAATAAAATAAATTTGAAAATTGAAGTGTTTAATAGGTGTAATTTTATAAGTTAAAGTGTTTAATGAGTCAAAATAAAAATTGAAGGTGCTACAAAATTAAAGTAACAAAGTTCAGAGGTGAATTGATGTATGTGGCCTTATGTGATTTGGTGTGTAATTAGGCTGGCTAAAGGGTTCTCATTTAATTGGATAGGTTTACCCACAATCGATGTAGCTGCACATGGGTCGGATTGAATTGGGTTTACTGATTTAAAGTATTCAATTTTTTTTATGCAGTTTAATGATTTTTTTTTTTTTTAACCTATATGAACCCACAGATCATATAGCAAGTTAGATTGAGTATAGGTTCAATATAAACTTAGGAGTTAAATAAATAACAAATAATATAAATAATTCTAAGTAAAATGCACATATTGAAGAAGAATAACTAACAGAACTAAATCTACTTAGAAAACAATTTTTACAAACCACAATATATTTCAATAATAAAATTTCAAAACAAGTTTAATAATAATAATAATAATAATAATAGCCTACTAAGAAAGACGCAATAAAATTAAAATACTTAATAATATAACTATACATTTAGTTTTAAAGTAGAATATATTTTAATAGCAACATTTAAAATAAATTTCTACTTAAAAGAAAAAGCAAGATTTTGAGAGGCAAGACCTACTAAATATGTAAAAAATTAGTATTTATATTAAAAACTATGAATCAAATTAAATAAACTCAAATAATTTATAATTACACATATATATATTTGATATTATTTAGTGGATTACGTCTCAGCGAATTTACTTACCACAACTCCACGACCCCATCACCATCACCACCATGGCTCCACCGCTATCACCACCACCGCTCCACCACAACCACCTCAACCTTTACTACGACCACCACAACCACCACTCTACCACCACCACCATTACTATATAATAAAAATTATATTTTAGTGTTCAATATCACCACAAAATAAAAATTCTATTTTGTTTTTTTATTTTATTTTAGGAATGGGAAGAATAGAATAAAATCACTAAAATTATCAAAACACCTATAATTTTATATTGTAATTTAATTTATTAATGAAAATATATGAAAAATTAATTTCTAGTGACTTTAACTTTGATTTCGTTACATTATATTTTTTTTCAGCTTACTTTCTTTTAATTTTTTTAGTCCAGATAAATTTATAAATCTAAATAACCTTTAATGAATAACTTTTAGTTTAAATATTTATTTTGTATTAATAATGATGTGGTAATTGTGGTGGAGTAGTTGTTGTGGTACTGCTGGTGACAGAGTGGTAGTTGTGATGGTGGTGGTGGTGGAATTGTGGTGGTGGTAGTGGTGGTGGAGTGATGGTAGTGCGTGCTAATTACATCACATATCTACAAATAAGCATAAAAATTGAGTGATTACATTCCATAAATTTTTTTCAGTGACATGGCCAAAAGTAATAATGATATATTAATTACATTCTATCGCAATACATTTTTTATTGCATTACATCTTTGATTACATTATATCCAACCAAAAATAGCGTTAGAACCTAATTAACACCTTTTAATTATGATAATATGTAAATTTAAGTTATAATATGGATTAGAATATGAAAATGAGATTTTCTAGGTCCATGACCTAGTATAGGCCGAACCTATCCTTGGTAGTGACTTTGACTTATTTTTTATTATTCTTGATTAATTGCATGAGATAATAATATAAAAGAATTGAAAATTAGGCATTATAGTTTTCATGGTATGTGATTAAAGTCTTGGTTTTTTAAAGAAAAATCATGTTTATGTGAAGGTATATCAATTGTTGTAATAATAAGTAAGAATATGATTTATGACTCGAAAATGGGTTTAAGAAGTGTTAATTGATGTTATGAATTGCTTGATAAGAAATGGTATGTTTTGACTTGAAAGAATATAAATTAACTACTTATAGAAGTCAATATCCTATTAGGCATATTTTGTGATTTGCCTCTTTATATCACTTAAAGCATGATATTTATGATTAAGAATCTTATATATGTTTCTATGAATTGTGGATACTTGTGAATTGCTTGGATATCACGTGATTTTCTTGGAAT